TGATAGAAGACACTTTTTAGTTTGTATTTATGTTTTTGAAGTTGTATTTTTACCTTTTGTTTAAGAAACATTGTCTAAAAACAAAGTGGTATGTTGGTATCGGTGACTTTCTTCTATCTTTTTTGCTCTCTTTTCTTTTATTCATTTCAAATGATCAGTAGTGAAATGTACATGGAACAAACAATTTTGCTAAAATACCTCAAAATTTAGGTCGATACAAATCTGAAAATAATTTTGTTGGACCATCAAAATAATTATATATATGGAACGCTTAATTTAAGCATTCACAATACCATGCTACAAAAAGTTTTGACATTTTAGTAACCAGTTTGAATATCCTACGTAATTATTTTGATGGTCCAATAAAATTATTTTCAAATCTATATATAGAAAATTTTTAGATATTTCAGCAAAACCGTCCTTTTCGTATGTATAAAAATTTGACACAATTATCACTATAGAGATCGCGAAATCATCTTATATTACATCTTGATAAAATTCTCATGTTTCCATGTTTCATCATTCGCGAAATGACAAAAATATATATGTCATCGCGAATAGATAAAACACAATGACAAGTGTATCAAAGTTTTCAATATCGACTATTGATCGCATCGCTGTAGCGCGAAAACGATGACAGACAAAAAGCGAACGTTTCTGAAATATCGTGATGAACTGCTGATGAAATTTACAGAAAGGTGGTTATCGCGATCGGCGAAAGTTCTCGTAAACGTTCCGATGAAGCGCGTAACATTTACTTCCGCCCGGCGAAACCAATTTTACTTTGAAGCTCGAGTCACGCGGACAGGCGTCGATCAACGGAAATAGAATATATCGATTTCTTGTCTCGCTGAAATACTTGCGTTTGTACTTTAACGCTATAGCAGATGCTTTAGTATAAGTTCCCCTTTTAAACCGTTTATCGTTATTCTACAGCGATTCACTATCAAGTGACATCTTTGTAGATCTATTTCTGACAAACAATTTTTCTCGTACGCGTACATATGTATATTTATACATATAAAATACACTCGGGATTTTAACACGAAAAACATTCGTATGATTAAAAAAAGCGCGGTATAACCTACAAATCATATTATTATCACATGATTAAATATTCTGAAAGCTCATAAACATGATATGTAAAATAACCCATTTCCAGCGCGCATAGTTCTAATGCTTTACACAAATCTAATAAAATTTTTATTATTGAAAGACTGTAATTAATTACTTATTTTACTTATTTAAAAGCACTGAACAACGTGCTTTTAATATTTAAATAAGTAATTAATTACAGTCTTTCAATAATAAAAATTAGATTTGTGTAAAGCATTAGAACTATGCGCGCTGGAAATGGGTTATTTTACATATTATGTTTATGAGCTTTCAGAATATTTAAGTTCGTATTCGTCGCGCGCGAAAACGCATTTTAATACTAGTCAATTTAATATGTTGAAAGTTTCAACATATTTCAACAAACTGTTGTTCAGTGCTTTTAATACTTAAAATAAGTAATTAATTACTGTCTTTAGTATTAAAATGCGTCTTCGACGAATACGAACAGGAATTGACGGGAATCGATTTTTCTTTCCTTATTAGATGGAAATATATAGGAATTGAATTCTTACCATGACGAGCATGTTGGCGGCAGATGGTTTGACCTGCGTGCGAAAGTAATTGTGGGTGTCCACTATCTTTTGCCGTACCTTGCTGCTAGTGGTCCTTATTAAACTGATGGGGACTCGGTCGCCGTACAATCGTGGCGCTGAAAACAAAAAGAAAATGTCTTCTTCCAATAACCGACATCTGCCGCCGATGAAGGCCTGAGTCCGGCCAATACAGCTCTACGACTACTCATTTCCTCTTTGCGAACGACAAAGAGAAAATCTTGATTAGATCTTGTCGCGAGAGATAATAGCTTTGAAGATAATAGCGTATTTTGCTCTCTAGCAAAATATGTCAATCGGACATAAAGAAATATGAGAATAAGAAAGAAAAAAAAAGAAGATTTCGTGTAACTAAGATGCGGAAGTTCGTGTTTGTTTCGTGATGTGCTTTTCAACTTCCCATTTGTTCGCGACGTTCGTAAGGTTTCCAATCATTTCGGAAATTACTCGTATGTCCAGTTGAAAAACGGGAACGTTTCGATGCTATTCCTATCAACACGTGGTACGATATCTTTTCAAATTGCTATTTTGATGATATCTAAATGTCTTATTCCGTATATATTGTCGTTTGGTAAAAATTGAATATTTTTTTTGTTTTTTATCATCCAGATAGAAGTATCGAGAATTTATCGTAAAACAATTTTAGATAGCAGTATTGTGTGTTCAGATATAACAATATTTTTTAGCAATCACAGATATCTTTCGAGATCGGTTTACCGTTGTTATGCGGTAAAACAAGCAGTGGCGGTTTTCTTCAATCACGATGTGAAGTGATTCTCCGTAGCCTTGTCTCGATCAAAATCGACTTTCCGCCTGCTCGCGATATATCGAGTAGCTCTTCGATCCTTTCAGGATACTATCATATAGGAATGTGATAGGATAACGGTGAAAACGGAAGCGTTATGATCGAATATCTTTCCAGAAGTTACGTGATACGTTCTTTGATGTATACGAAAGCTTACCTCACGAACTTCCGTTTCTTAGATAGAGAATTCAGAATGCGCAAACATAGCTAAGAAGTCGCAGTAATTGTAATTAATGAAACAGTAATTCATTGAAAGAGATAAATCATTTTCTTCACATAAATTTGTTTTAAAATGATTTTTATTTGAGGAATAATATTTTCCTTATAACTGCTCACACAATTACATTTGTGTTAAATTTGATACACTTTATGTATTCCAAATAGTCCGAATTTAATACAAAATGAAAAT